ATGCATCTATACCTTGTACATATTATTAGCATATTTAAGTGGCATAAGCTGAGTATCTTTTACATATGCGCATAATATCAGCATATTTAATCGCATTAAACTATGCCACTTATTACCTATGGACATATTATTAGCATATTTAAGTGGCATAAGCTGAGTATCTTTTTTACATATGCGCATAATATTAGCATATTTAAGTGCATTAAACTATGCATCTTATTACCTTTGTACATATTATTAGCATATTTAAGTGGCATAAGCTAAGTATCTTTTTACATATGTGCATAATATTAGCATATTTAAGTGCATTAAACTATGCATCTTATTACCTTTGTACATATTATTAGCATATTTAAGTGGCATAAGCTGAGTATCTTTTACATATGCGCATAATATCAGCATATTTAAGTGCATTAAATTATGCATCTTATTACCTTTGTACATATTATTAGCATATTTAAGTGGCATAAGCTGAGTATCTTTTACATATGCGCATAATATCAGCATATTTAAGTGCATTAAACTATGCATCTTATTACCTTTGTACATATTATTAGCATATTTAAGTGGCATAAGCTAAGTACTTTTTACATATGCGCATAATATTAGCATATTTAAGTGCATTAAACTATGCATCTTATTACCTTTGGACATATTATCATATTTAAGTGGCATAAGCTAAATACTTTTTACATATGCGCATAATATTAGCATATTTAAGCATAAGCTGCTTTTGATCTTTTTCATTCATGTACATGTGAGAAACATGTCTGACATGAAAAATATTGGTATGAAACGTTACAACACAGGTAAATGCATTGTTTACACAAGATTCAAACACTCTTTCACAATTACTGTGGCTTTTTAATATAAACAACGATATACTACTGTATTTTTCATTTTTTCGCCTATTTTCGCTGTGTGTATATTTTGAGGTATTCACTACTGTAGAATACTTTATTTTTGCTTGGAATTTATTTTCGCTGAAGGGATTACGTGAAAATAAAATCCAGTGAATATACTTTTTTTCCTATATTTCACATTCAACTCATCAAAAATCAGTGAAAATAAATTCCATACAAAACACCAAAATGGCTTTTCAGCGAAAATTAATTCCAGCTCAAATAAAGTATTTCACAGTCTATTGAAACTTAGTTCAAGGTGAATCAAATACAACCTGATTCAAGTGTGGCAACTCCTCTCTGTTCTGCTGATAAATTCAGTAGAGATTAGAATGTACATTTACTTTTAAATTCAGCGTGCACAACGTCTGCTGATTGCGACAAACTGTTCAATATAAGTATTTATTGTAATACAGTAATATCATATTTAATTGCGGACAGCGTGATATGATGGAGAGGTCGTCAGGTCACCTGACCTCCTGACATGCAGTCATTCTGGATTATAATTGTAGTTATGTATAACATATGGATGGTGTTAAATCCGCTGATGTTTGGAATAGCTGAGATTTCTGTCTTGACAAGCTATAGCTGTGGTCCACATGTCGAAAGTGACAGCTCTGTATGACTGGAGTAAATAAATAACAAACCTAGTAGACTGGGGTGGCAGATTCTAATCTGGCTATTATGATGAAGCCTTTTTTTTTTTTTTTCTGAAATTTACAATTGTATTATTTCCCACGAGTAGTATATGTAATAGGTGGATGCCTGTGAAAAGAGTACATGGAATAGAGTAAACAACTTAAATTTTTTTTTTTCACAAAAATACCATAAAATCATCAAATGATAAAATACCCTAGCAGTTGAAATTTGACAGCTCACAATGTTCTCACTTTCATTAAATGCCATTTTTCATACCTTTGAGCTTCAAGTCAACTTTTGTCAAGTTTTTCAAAATAAACCCACGGGGTGACGCTAAATTTTTTCATATTTTTTTTTTAAAATTATGTTACAGTTGAAAATTATTAATACATTTTGATAATTACTGTAGCAAATCGTACATTTTGTCTGAAATTAACAGAAAAATGATGGAAAGATACCTAAAAATGAACAAATTATTAGACTGAAATTTGTTTCTGTGTAAAAAAATATATATATTTTTTGACCCCGCTTTCCTATTTTATTATTAGTATTTTTTTATGTCGTTTATTTTGCTTTCTTCGCCTGAGTGAACAGATAAAGAACCCCTGAGTGCCGATTTATTCAGGCCGATTTCCGTCGCCTAATCTGTATTACTTATGCTGTAAATTCCATTGACAATACGGTAACATGTGCAGGAATTAAACAAACTTGTTTCCTGCGGTTGAATGATAACTGTATATACATGTATTTCGGCTCTGGATTTGTAGTAAACGAGTGTTACACCCATGTGTCAGTGACCTCGTCTATAGTTAGCGAAGGTTGGTGATTTTTATTTCAAATATATTGTATCTCTTTTATTAGAAATGCTGATCTGATGGAAAACAATGACAATGGTTATTTATTTTGATCACAACATTATCTCTATCGTTATTTAATTGAAAATTCATGCTGTTTAGTGTTTTGTTACTTTAAAATGGTAGAATAGATTTATACAACTTTGAACTCCACTATAATTGGAACTCGATAAAAAATGCTTTGATATTCAATTCCACACTTTTATATACTGTGAAATACTTTATTTTTAGCTTGAATTAATTTTCGCTGAAAAGACTTTTTGGGTGTTTTTATAGAATCTATTAAATTATTGAATGTTAAATATAGAAAAAATGGTTTTTCGCTGGATTTTATTTTCACTGAATCATTCCTTCAGCAAAAATTAATTTCAAGCGAAAATAAAGTATGGTATTCTACAGTAGCATTATTTTTGACACCTGTCACTAAGCATTATGTGATGTGATCATTGTTTATGAAGTTATTTTATTTGGACTAATTGGAACTGAACATCAAAGATTGGGCGCTAACCTGAAGTGTTTTCAATCATAAAACTTTTCCCAAAAATTCAATTCAAGAGGTCAACTTGTATTTGATTTTAAAATTTAAGCCAAAACGCAATTTGAAATCGGTGATTTTTCGTACACTACGTGATCTCGTGTATTACATGATGAGCACTGACCCAACACCTGCTGTCAAAACCAAATGATTTGATTTTGATTTAAATTTCCCCTTTTACCTTTTAGTTCAAAATCAAAATACCAATCTTTGAGAGAAGAATATTGTGTTAAGATACTTAATCAAAATTGGCCTTTATTAAATTACTGATTGACATTAGGGACAACTAAATCAATAATCGCTGAACAATGTTTTTTTGACTAGATAAAAGGTTGGGGAAATTTTAAAATGAACATGATATGTGAGATTTTTTGTTAAGATATATGTTTAAATTTAAAACGCTATTTTTTTGGATTCAATGTGGGTCCCATGCACTTATAGAACACATTGGTTTACACCAAATTTGAACATGCTGTACACTAACACTTCAAGGTAGGTAGGTGTTTCAGAGAGACGACTAATTCATGAGGTTTGTTTAGTCTTTCGTATTTACTTACATACATGTTTACCATTTGTACGATTCTCTAGGAATTCTCAGGTCAAGAGGGGGAGGCAAACGCCTAGATTATGTAACTCCATATAACCTAAGGGAAAACACTGAACAGTGAATGGTATGTGCTGACCACATATCAAAATCAATCCAAGATGACTGCCACATTTTTCAGTGTTGCCATGACAATTAAACTAAGGTGGTTCTTCTGGCGTCAGATAATCTTTTTGTAGGCACGAAAGGAACAATACTAAGGCTAAGTAGTTTGAAACCATTTTACTTTTCCTGAATTAGATTAAATCATTTTTTGATTTGTTTTTGTTGGGAACAAGGATATGGGTATTTTTGTTGAAGCCATGATACTTGCCCTGTAGTTTAAACTTGAACTTTTAAGGAGTGGATACAAATTTTCAAAATCAAACATTTCATCTAGACAAAACAGGGATATTTTTCAATAGAATGATTTAACCACAAAAAGTTGTTTATTTCTGTGTTCTAAATTTCTGTGCACAAGTTAAAAAAAAAACATCACTGTTAGACATAGATCCATGTTGCTGCCTGCCTGCCTGCCACATTAATTAGACTCTTTCAAAGTTTGTGGCTATGGTTTGTTAAAGAAGGCGAGTCGTCACCTGCACATGCGTTAGATGGCCATAGCATGTCACTGTTTACAAACAAGCGTCTACCCATGAGCCTTTGCGTTTTTAGCGTGTGTTATCGTTGCTTTGGACACAATTCCGCCGCGTGTGTAGGTGACGACCCTCCCTCTTTAAGCTACACGAT